AGCTGTTGTTCAGCATCTTAGCTGTGGAGGGCAGTGTCACTGGCCCTCATATGTGGGATCCGAACCGGGGCCCTCTGGCGTCCCAAGCTAGTTCTTAACCATTGCGCCACTCGGCCGGCCCCTGAAGAACTTTTTAATGGGAAGCTTATTGTCTTAGAAGGCAGCCTGTTTCATTGTTGGATAGCACTTGGTTAGAAAGTTTTTCTTCAATTGACTCACTTTGTCTCCCAATAACTTCTGAGACTGTTACTCTTAAAATTTATCATCTGAAGAAACAACTATGTTCCCTAGTTCACATTTACATGATAATCCTTATTCGTTTAAAAACTACTAATACTGTTTATCTTGCTGTTTTTTCAGACCATACATTCTCTGTACCATTAGTTGTTTGTCTTACTTAATTTTTCCAAACCCTTATACTCTCCTATGGTTGTATATTATTATTTCTTAAAGATTGTTTCTCAGAGTAGGATGCACAACTTCTGACCATGATAGGACAGTGATTTGGCAGCACAGTTTCTAGCACTGTGACTTAACGACACCGTTGACCAATAATGAGTTTGTAGCCATTGATCTTTTTTTCATGGAGTCCTGTCACATTGTTTTTTCCTCTTATATTAGGCAGTTTAGGGTTGTTTTTTTGTTGTTATAACTCAAATGAATATTACATTTGTCTTTAAATGTCATCTTAATAGATTTGGCCAAGCTTTCCCTCCTGTTAAAATCCTCTAAAAATCAACTTGGTATTTATTTATCTTTTGTAAAATTTCTTTAAGCTTTTCAAAGTATTTGATAAGTATCTTCTCTACAGTCATCTAAATATTTATAAAAATTTTGAAGATGATATATTTATTATTGAACTAAGGAGCACAAGTAATTCCCTAGATGCTTCTCTCCAAGTTGACACTTTTAAGCTAATAAAACCCATTTTTTCCCATTTTAATCAACATTGTGTAACTAATTTATGAGCTATCCACCTAGTTAGACCAAACAAAAAAGGAAAATAGTTTATGTTGGCTTGATTTATTTTTAGTGAGGACATGTCAGTTTTGCTGCATTCTTTTTTACTTAATCACTTTGAATCAGATAAATAATTTTCCTCAAGATAAATGGTAAATTTATTGGCACACATTTTTGTTTTCCTTTTTGAACTACCAGGACAGCGTTTGTATATCATCTTCTGTCCCCTTTCCCATACTTTGTGGTTCCTCAGAGATAGTAGTGAGAAGTATAGTTGTTAGCCTAGAGCATAGGGTATAGGAGGGAGTTGTAATGTAGGATGGGGTCAGATTTGGGGGGTCTTGAAGAATAATAGGCCAGTCTTTTTTAGTAGTTGAGGAAGGAGTGGCTCTGCACATTTTAGAAAACTAGTCATATGATGATAATCTAGTTGTAGAAATACTAGAGAGTAAATGGTTAAATGTGGAAGAGATTGCAAACAGATAGGGTAATAATTTTAAGGAAGCAGCCTTTAAACAATGCTGCAGGACCATGTCTGTTTTCATTATATCCTTATTGCCTGGAAAGTACTTTTTACATAAAAACCCTTAAATGTTCGTTGAGTGATTAGTAGTAACAAGGGCCTGAGCAGTGGGGAATCAAGAAGAATAGATTTGATGGTATGAAAATAGAATTCATAAGATAACTAAATATGGGTTGGAGGAAGAGACAAAGAAGAGTTGGAAATGACTCTGAGGTTCCAGCCAGTGTGATCTAGGGGACAATAGTGTCACCAGTAGGATAGGAAACAGAGTCCTGGGAAAAGCTGAGATGCCAATAGGACGATGTGGCATGTCTGGCAGATATTTGGAAGTGCAGTGCTAAACTCAGAGGAGAAGTAGAGCTGAAGCTAAATATTACAGACAGCATCACAGAGTGGCTACTGAAGATTGCACAAAACAATTAAATATTACTGCTCCGCTCGTACTAACTTTGTGACCATATATAGATTGCTTAATATTTTGAGGTAAAGCACCCAGTGCTCTAACAGTAGGATAAATATTAGTTTCTTTTTTTTCTTCTGGTGGCAGCTGGTTTATTAAGGGAGCACTGCAGAGAGAAAAGAGCCTGGACAAGCATCTACATTTAGAATAGGAGAAAAAGAGGAGATATCCTCAGGGTTATGATACACATGAAGAGAATAGTCATGGGAGAAGAATTTCAAGAAGTGGTAACAGTTGTAAAAGGTCATCAGGTTGGACAGTTAGGTGGTCAAAAAGAATTACTTTAATTGCGTGATCATGTTGAAAAGACAGAGGATTTTTAAAATTAACAAAGCTGAAGCAGTGATAACTACACTATGAGTTAGTATAGAGGCTGAAGTATGAGTGTGGCTTCAAGTAGTTAGAAGACAAGGTTTAATAGAGTAAACCTTAAACAGTAATGGGGTTTGGGTAGAGAGACTGGTTATAGTAAAAATGAAAAAGAAATAGCCTCGATTTTTACCAGACTAAGGAAACCATTTGTTAAATAAGATAAAATAAATAGTTTATAGTTGACTAAGTAGAATACTGCCAGACTATGAAAGGACTATGAAGATCTCGCTGGATTTGGGCTTTTTCTTAAGCACATTTTCTGCTGAATTTCAAATGAGAATTACCAAGTCCAGTCATTATATTGGGTCTTCGGAAAAGTCATGACGTAGTTTGTCTATTTTCCAAAGGTCATTTATTTATATAAATAACAAAGATCAATCAATGATATATTGCCCGTTTTGTTCGATAACCTTTTGCCATCTTTCTGTGAGCTTCATAATTCCTCGTTCATAGAAGGACCTGTCTTTATGCTGATTTACAGCCTCATCTGAATTGAATGTTATACCAAGCAAGGAGTTTTCAAGAGAGCGAAACAAGTGGAAGTCTGACGGCGCAAGGTCAGGCAAATATGGTGGGTGTGTCAACACATCCCATCCAAGTTCCAGTAGTTTTTGACGATGATCAAACTTGTGTGTGGTCTCATGTTGTCGCGATAGAACACAACTCCTTTACAATTAACAAGCTCTGGACATTTCTGGATGATGGATTCATTCAAACTGTCCAATTGCCGACAGTACACATTCGAATTGATTGTTTGGTTCCTTAATAAGAGCTCTAAAAACACGACACCTTTAAAATCTCACCACATTGAGAGCATAACCTTCCTCTGATGAATGTCTGCTTTCGATGTAGTTTGAGGCAAATCATCACATCGGGACCAAGACCGTTTGCACACCACATTGTTGTCAACAATCCACTTCTCATCACCAGTTATCAGTCGCTTCAAAAAGGATCGTTTTCCTCATATTTAATGAGCATATTGCAGATGTTTATACGCGCTGTCAAATGAAATTCTTCGAGTTCATGCGGAACCCAAATATCAAGCTTGCTTATGTATCCCAGCTTCTTCAGGTGGTAATGAACACTTGAATGATGGATGTTCAATGTTTCTGCAATCTCCCGTGTAATATAACGTGGGTTTGACTAGATCAATGCCTTTATTTTGCCGTCATCAACCTCGGTGGGCCTCCCTGACTGAGGAGCGTCGAGATCAAAATCACCAGCATGGAATTTCGTGAACCATCGTTGGCACTGACATTCTTGTAGAGCATTGTCACCATAAACTTTATGCAACTTTTCACAAGCTTGACACG